TCATGTTCCATGGGTCAGCGTTCAATCAAAATCTCTCATCATGGGATGTCTCTTCTGTCAGAGACATGCGGAGTATATTTTATAATGCATCATCATTCAATGGGAGACTTGTCGTCATGGGATGTCTCGTCTGTTCTTGCCGATATGGAACATATATGTTTTCCTTCGCATTTTCCTTCAATCAAGACATTTCGTCATGGGACGTCTCTTCTGTGAGTGACATGACCTACATGTTCAGTGACGCAACAGCTTTCAATGGCGACATCTCGTCATGGGGTGTTTCTTCTGTTGCAAGTATATGACTGTCATGTTTGGCGGTGCATCATATAGAAAGGTTGCGAGTGAAGAAGAAGAAGAAGAATTCCGAATTCTGGTACAGTAGCCGCCAGCAAAGGACTTGAATGAAGATCTGACACGTACCGGTACCAGGTACAGTACTGTAGCTACCATACGAGAAGAAAGTACTGAGCTTGCGTGGAGAAGATGTGGACACGTAAGCGCCAAACTGAAAAGAAACACACAACTCGATCCATCGGACCCCAACATAGCGTTAAAATTTTTACGACCACTCCAAAAAGCAAACAATTTTTGTTGTTGCTGTATCATACAGTATGCAATCCGATTGCTACCATGGCAGGAAAGAAACAAGACCCCGAGAAGAAACGAAGCGGCGCAAGTAGGGCAGCCAAGCCAGGTGCCTTACAAGAGAATTCCAGTATGAGTTCTGGCAATCAAAAAAAAAGGAACGGAGCGACGCAGTATGTGCAACGAAACCTGGTGCTCATTCGGCAAGCGGGAGGAGCAGTGCTGATGCTAGAAAGGACCGAAGCGCTGCTAGGTCAACCAAGTCTGGTGCTGTTCCTGAGAAATCTAGTAGAATCAGGAATTCGGATTCTCCCAGAAAGGAAAAAAGGTCGAAGCAATCATCGAATCCTGGTGCTGTTCCTGAAGATTTGGTGAATATTCGTCAGTTAAGAAAAGAAGAGAGGGCCAATCGGCAACCGCCGCCTTCGCTTCCCGCTTCTCAAGGTGCTTTGGAGGCTGTTCCTGTGGAAGTGGACGACAGCATCGAGAAGGGCCAAGCAATGGAACAAATGAGACGCGAATTTGAGCAGAAGGAACGATTGCGCCAGCAAGAAATCGATGAGCTCAACCAGCGACTTGCTGAAAGTGCCGAAGAAGAATATCAGCGAAAACGAAGAAAGCGGATAGTCATCACTGTTGTGGTGTGTTTGGTTGTTCTCATAGCCGCCGGAGTCGGCGCATTCTTTGGTCTCAAAAAGACTACTGATGTAAAACAAGAACCAATATTGGAACCTACTTCTGATGCCGATGATGGCTCTAATGCTACAGATAGCAGCATGTCTAGTAATGTTCCCTCAAACTTGCCTTCCAGCAGTCCATCAGAGTTTGTCATTAGGTACGACCCACCGTCCGACCAAGATTGTGCAGCAGTGGCCGCTGGCGAAAGACCAACCGAAGAATTTCTTTGGCAGCGCAACTTCTTGATGCCAATGGATGTGGTCCTGTCGGCCGACCAGAACAATGACGAGACTGCTCAAGAGCTCAAAGAAAAGATTCAAACACTTTTGATGCCAGAACTAATTGGTTGCATTTCCGATGCTGATCCAAATGATGCTGTCAATCGAAAACTGCAATTAAATTCAGAGTACAACTATGTCATTTCCAAAGCAATTGTCAATGTGCTACCAAGAGAAGGACAATGTGTTCGGAGTCAAGCGACAACTTGTCTTCATTTTTTGGTCACTTTTGATCTCTTTTTGGAGGGACTCGAACGTATCCTGACTCTTATGGAATTGATCAATATCGTGTTTGGATACGATCAAGACTTGGTCCAAAAGTTGGACCTGTCAGACCCATATGTGGAATTGATTCTTGTGACTATTTCTGCAGGAACCATCACAGAAGCTCCTAGCATGGTACCATCAATGGTACCCAGTGAAATGCCAAGTCTCTCGCCATCAACGCACCCTACCTTGGCTCCAGCTTATTCTAGTCGAATTACTCCATCAGCTAAGCGCCCAACCGGCATGCCATCCTTCACACCAAGCCTGCGGCCTTCCACTGCACTGTAGCATCTTTGGCACAAACCGAACCTATAACCAGCAGCATGGATGTAGCAACTGATGGTGGTATTGCCATTATAGATGTAATGTTGTTTTGGGTTTTGCGGGCCAACAACCGTGTTGTTGATTGGTGTTGTTGTTACATCCATATTAGCTTTCATTATTGCTTCATTATTGTGGTTTATTTCATTCCAACTGCAACTGCATGAATATATATGATGCGGTGGTATACGGTACCGGTATATGATATTTGAATATGATTCTCAGCTACCTACTGTATCGTACATGCTCGTTCAGCTCGATCAATGTTTGAGTCAGACCAGTCGGCAAGAATCTTCATGTTTTATAATTTTCAGGTACAAATTGTACTAGCGGTACGTGTTGTTTTGGGGTTTTGGTCATTGGAGGGAGAGAGCTGGAGATCGAATTGCAAAGCCTACAGTACCTATACTGTTGTTGTGTTTGCTGTCCTCATAATAGAAAGGCAAAAGCAACAAAAGAGAGCGGAACAAAGTCCCAATCCATAGTCCGTCACAGAACCCGCCACTAGTATCGTAAAGAACTGCCATGGCAAAATACGCCTACGCGCCTCTCCAAATTGTAAGAACGACAAATGATATCGCAAATAATGCTTGATTGAATTCAATTCAATTGAATTGAAGTGGATTGAATGTTATTGCTGCGTTCCTTTCACAGCATTGGACGGAACACGCATGGATTGCTTTTCTTCTTCTATACATCAAGGATTCATTCATCCTCACGCTGTTTATTCATTCCTCTCGCTTTCGATGCACCTTTTTTGTTTTGTTTTGTTTTGTTTTGGTTCGTGTTTCAATGATTCAATTTTCAATGCAATGCAATGCAATGCAATGCAATTTTCAATGCAATTTTCAATGCAATTTTCAATGCAATTTTCAATGCAATGCGATAGGACAAAAACCGACAAACTGGAAGCAGTGGCAACAATCTCAGTGGCATGATGACTAATTCTAATACCAATACTGGCAGCAGCCACGCACGCCAAGGTGATGGTAATAACAAGGATGGCAACGATCAACTCGTGCAGGAACGCATGCCCATGTGTGTGGCCATTTGTGTCTTGCTTGCCATTGTGTTTGTCTTGTCCAAGGGAAGTGGCGATATTGATTTGCAACCACAAGAACAATTGC